GTGTTGCTGTGTCGCTATAATGTGAAAAGGCTGTTCCGTTTGTCATATACAAGTCTATTTAAACCGACAGAATTGGGTTCAAATTGGTAATAAAAATGGATTTGTTTTACCAAATAAATTGACTATTGCCTACTAGTTTATCTTTGGTACGCTTAAGGAATTATTAAGCAGTTTTCGATGATTTTAAACCCTTTCTTATTATGGACGTGTATACTGCGCAAGTACAATAACTCATTCTATCAAGGGTATTCTCATTTCAAGCTATTCACTTTCCAGCTGATCTGATTCGAAAGGTGTTGCTGTGTCGCTATATCTGAAAAGGCTGTTCTGTTTGTCATACACAAATCTATTTTAATGCCGGGTTTCCACTATACGACTGCGCTCGGACCGAGTTCACTCGGATGACTACTTGGACACTCGTACCGTATTGATTGGATGCCGACGTTCGAGTGCGCTTGGATCACGTGTTTACACTTTACAAGTAGCGTCCTAGTAGCTCGGTTTGAGCGTACTCGTACAGTGAAAACCCGGCTTAAAGCTCGGAATGTCATTTTTTCAGTCCGTTTGTTTTTTGTTGGCAATGTCAAATAAATCTTCAGTTATGAATTTATACTTAATGAATTTGTTAAAAAAAAATGGTGTAAGGTAAACTGATAATAAGGATGGATTTGATTTATCAAATAAGTTGACGATTGATACTAAGCAGTAGTCGATGATTTTAAACCCTTTCTTATTATCATGGATGAACGTGTATACTGCGCAACTACAATAACTCATACTTTCAAAGATATATGTGAAAGGGCTGTTCAGTTTGTCGATAAGTCAATTTAAAGCTCAGAATGACTTTCAGTCCGTTTTTCGCTCGTTGGCAATTCCAAACAAAATATTCATCATATCAAATAGCTATGAAGAATTTATTATGAATTTGTCAAATTTTAAGTTCTACAATTAATTGGTAATAAAAATGAATTTGATTTATCAAATAAGTTGGCTGTTGCCTACTAGTTTGTCTTTAGTACGTTTAAAAAATACTTAGCAGTAGTCGATGATTTTAAACCCTGTCTTATTATCATAGATGAACGTCAATATTGCGTAACTACTATAACTCATACTATCAAGGGTAGTCTCATTTCAAGCTATTGTACGTTCCAACATATCTCATCTGATTCGAATTAAGGTATTGCTGCGTTGCCATATGTGAGAAGACTGTTCAGTTTGTCATAAATCTATTTAAAGCTCGGAACGTCAATATTCAGTCCGTTTTTTGCTTGTTGGTAATTCCAAATAAAGATTCGGATATGTGAATATTTAATATGAATTTATGTCAAATTAAAAAGAATGGAATTGGGTTCAACTGGTAATAAGAATGGATTTGTTTTACCAAATAAATTGACTATTGCTTACTAGTTTGTCTTTAGTGCTTTTAAAGAATTATTAAGCAGTAGTCGACGATTTTAAACCCCTTCTTATTATCATAGATGAACCTCTATACTGTGCAAATACAATAACTTACACTATCAAGGGATTCTTATTTCAAGCTATTCACTTTCCAGCTGATCTGATTTGAATCAAGTTGATGCTGCGTCGTCGCCATGTCTGATAAGGCTGTTCTGTTTTTCATTTTTCAGTTACTTTTTTGCTTGTTGGCAATTCCAAATATTCAGAAATGTGAATATAAATTTTTTATATAATATCTTATTATAATAGCTGAATTTGTATACTGCTCAACTAAAATAACTCATACTCCCAATGGTATTCTCATTTCAAGTTATTCATTTTCCAACTGATCTGATCGGGTATTTAGGATTGGGTAATTTTCCGAAAAATTTCAAATAGTAGAAATTTTTCCGTAAAAATTCCCGAAAAATTGGAAAAATTACAATTTTGAAAGGTTCATCTTATGTTCTACGTTTAGAAATATCTTTTGAAGTTTTATTTAGCGTGAATTTTAAAATAAACTTGTATAGCTAAAGGCCACAGACAGACTAACTCTGCTTGGAGTTCAAGGAGTGCTAATGCCTTTTCACGTTTCGCGGCGTCTTGTTCGCGTCTGGCAGCAGCCTTTTCATGCTCTGCTTCTATTTTAACTAAGCACCGAGTATGCTCGACCATTGCTACTAGCTTTTGCTTATTTACAGTTGAATGTGCACTTGATTTTGAGAATGATTTGATCATAGAATGAGTCTTGGTGAGTTTACCACTGGCGCTTGGGCGTTTTGATCTGGTAGCGCAAGAGGCGATTCATGTGCTCCAGGGCAAGGTGTGCTGGACGACACTGGTGCGAGGGCACCATAGGAAGGAACACCGTCTTGGAATGCAGCAATATTACGACGCATTCTGATCACCGGGTTACTTTTATGAACCATCTTTTTCATCATTTTCTTGTAGCTATTTCTGCATATCTGCTCTTTTGGAATTTGTAGTTGGGGCGGCCCAACTAAAAAGCAAGCGGCAAAAAGCAGATCCCGCGGATTGGAGTGACTGTGTCTGTGATATGACGCGTTGTCAATCACTACGAATTCGGTGGCAGATTTGGAGCAGTTGACAACGCAGCCATTTTTCATAGTTTTAAAGTTCATATTGTCATGGTAGTCACAAGATTTTGTGCCAGCTGTAAATAAAAGTAGGGCCTAGGATTAGGATCAAATCCAGCTTCCGCTTCCTTCCGCGTCAACAATAACTACACGTTGCCCTTTTGAAATCGATTTATTCAGTCTTCTGAAAAATACAATTCTTTCAGTCTTCCTGAGTTGACTCATCTGACCACGATTTGCAACTTGCAAAATTAGTA